GCTGAGCGTCCAAGACGCCTCGGTGCCACCCACCGGCGTAAGACCATCCGGATCTGCTGCTGCGCCCTCCGTACGCAGCAGTCCCCGCGATGGCCCACGGTCCGCGTCACTGGTTGAACCCCTCCTCCCGGTTGACCCCGCCCCACTCCTCGCTAGTCCATCATGAAATAAACTCAAAGACCCACCACGCCTCCAGCCTCCACCTCCACCCGCGAGCCGCCACCGCTGCCGCCCGCGACGCCGCCCGCCGCGTCAGATAGCCGCGACGCGCGCACCGAGTCGAGTCGGAGAGCTGCGCCGCACCAGCAGCAGCATCTGCACCACCAGCAGCAGCAGCAGCAGCACCACCACCACCCGAGAGAGAAGCACACCTGCCCGACGCCGCCCGCCGCGTCAGACGCTCGCGACGCGCGCGTCGAGCCCAGTCGCAGAGCCGCGCCGCGCCAGCAGTAGCATCTGCACCAGCAGCAGCAGCACCACCACCACCAGCACCAACAGAGACAGGCAGTGCAGGCGCACAAGCGCTCGCAGAGCGGCGCGCAGCGCCGCGCACGCCACGCTGCGGACCGTCGGACGAGCGCACCGTACGTCGGCGGCGAGCCGCGTCGCCAGCCGTCTCGCGAGAGAGCGGCGCCGCCGCGTGCGCGCAGCAGCCGCCGCGGCAGAGGCCAGCCGCGGCGACGTCCGCACTAACGGATAACGGCCATTGGCGGTTTCTCTCTCTCTCTCTCTCTCTCCGGTGCTCTGTGGTCGGATTTGTGACGCCGCCGCACCGCGCCGCGGCCGGGGGCCCTCCGGAGGCCGAGGATGGCCGTGACGGACCGGGACGAGCTCTGGGAGGTTCAATGTCAGTGTATATATTGTAGAGACTAACCATTTGCACAATATCTTTCAGTCTAGCTAAGCCTGGGAAGGCAATGCTGGGGCCGTAAAGCAGCTTGATGGTGCTTCGCCGGCGTGCGTCCCGGAGCGGTGCCAGACGGGCGGTCCGTGGGAGGAAAATGGAGGACAACGCCGACGGCGCTCTGATTCGACTTTTTACTTCAAACAAAGACAGTCGCACGCGCCGCAGCGCGGCGCGTGCGACTGTCACCTGTCACGCGGGAGCGGATCCGTCAGTTAGTCGTGTTCACGCCGGGATCGTGTCCTCCGCAACCTGCACAGACTTTAGGCCGCAACAGTAGGTTCCCCAGACTACCGCTTCAGTGGTCGTGAGTCGTGTCCTTCTGCGTTTTCGAGTTCGTTATTGATATTGGTTATTGCCATCCATGATACAGATGATACATGAATCATTGTGTAGGTGGACTCTGATGTAGCTCCCCTTTTCCCCTCCCCTTTGCCCCCCCCTCCCCCCGCTACTGCAGCGGTGGCGGCCGCTCCTCGCTCTCCGCGTTGAGCTGCTCCTCGAGGTCCTCCCGCAGAAGCTCCTGCAGCGCGGTCGGCACCGATCCCGCGACCGCGGCGGCCCAATCCCGCGCTATCGCCTCCCGGTGCGCGAGCACGCGCGACGCCACCAGCGCCGGCTCGGTCATCCCCAGCCCGCCGCTGCTTAGCTGGCGCGGCTGCGGTGAGCTCGAGAGCAACTCGAGCACGAACAGGCCCGCGAGCTGGTGTCGCCGCGGCGACTCAAACCGCGGCAGCCACTCGTCGAGCTTCTCGCGCAGCCACTCCGCCGACGCCGCGTGCGAGTTCGACTCGTTCTGCTCCTCGTCCAAGTCGCGCAAGGCCGAGAGCGCCGCCTCGCGCGTGCACGCCCGCTGCAGCAGGTCGAGGTTGGACGCACGAAAGGGCGAGGATGCCTCCGAAAAGTCGGAGCTCCACTTGCCCGACGCGGCGCGCATCGAGGCGTACAACGCCGGCGGCAGCGCGATTCGTGGGTCCATGCACATTGCGGTTACCGTCACGTTGCCCGCCAAGTACTCGCCGAGGGGCGTGGAGGGCGCCACGTCCTGCCGCTCGCTGCAGTCGACGTCACGGGTGGCGAAGGCATCGCCACCGTTCTGGACGCCGCCCACGCCGCTCCCGTCGAAGGGGTCGGCCCTTCCGCCGCCGCCGTCGCCGCCGCCGCCGCTCCCGCACACGTCTCCCAAGTACAGGCTCTCCGACGACACGCTCAGCAGGTCGCTGCTCCACTCGATTTTGGTGCCGACCATAAATTCTCGCCACTTGGAAGGCATGCTACGTATTGCAATACAGCTGTCTGCACAGAGATGCCAGCACCCCCCACAGGCAGAGCTCTGCTGCTGGGGGGGGGGGGGGGGGTCTGACCCCCCCAGCAGCAAAACGCTCTGCTGCTGGGGGGGGGATCCCGACCCCCCCATCAGCAAAACTCTTCTTCTTGGGGGGGGGGGGGGGGGGGGGGGGTCCCCCCCTTCCCAAGTGGGGCGGGGGGGCCCCAAAATGGGGGGCCCCCTTTAAATTGCCCCCCCCTTTTAAGGGGGGGGGGGCCCCAAAACCCTTTGGGGGGCCCCCCCCGTTGGGGGGGCCCCCACTTTTTTTTTGTTTTGGGGTTTGGGGATTTCCCCCCAAAACCTTCAAAATTCTTGGGGGGGGCCCTCGGGGAAATTTTTGTCTTTTTTGCAAGAACCCCCCCACAATTTTTGGAACCCTGAACCGGGGGGGGCCCCCCCCCCCCCCCTTTTTTTTTACCAAGGGGGGGGCCCCGGGGCCAAACCCTTTTGGAATTTTTGGAGAGCTTTTTTTAAACCCCCGGGGGGAGGGGGGGGGG